GAGAGAGTGAGAAACATCGACATGAAGGGACACATCGAGTGGCTGCCACCCGCACGACCAACCAGGGCCGGGGACAAACTGCAACCGAAGTACGTGCCCTTAGCGGGAACCGAACCCGGGTCTCTCCGGACCGCAGGCCGACGCTCTAACCGCTGAGCCAAACTGGCCAGGGCTTTTTAAAATATGCTTTTATTGATTTTTAGAGAGAGAGGATGGGAGAGGGAGAGATAGAAACATCAGCTGCCTCCTGCATGCCCCACGCAGGGTATCAAACCCGCATCCTGTGCATGATTCCTGACCAGGAATCGAACCAGTGACCTCCGTGTATGGGACGACGCTCAATCCGCTGAAGCACACCGGCCGGGCTCAGCAAGCATCTCTCTAAGGAGGGACGATGGACCGGAAGGAAGTGAGGGAGGAAGTGTGGGGAGATGGGCAGTGCAAAGGTCCTGGGGCAGAAACAGGCTTGTCAGGGAACAGGATGGGGCGGGCACAGCAAGGGTCAATGGGGCTGGGCTGGATGGCCAGGGTGCTGGCAGATGGGCAGCAGAGGGTGGGCAGGAGCTGTTGGTTCAGAGGAACCCCGAAGCCTGATAAAAACAGGGGGGCCATCTCCACTAGGACTTAACTTCTCAAACCTGCTCCTCCCTAGATAGGAGCTTCCCCCACAGTAGCTCCCCTAAGGCAGAGGTGGCCCTCGGCAAACCACCAGCCCTGTAACTGAGATTAAGACACACCTGAGCGACAGGTGGGCAGGTGGGTGAGGGGAGTGGTGGGGACGCTCCTCCCCCACTGCATTATTGATCAGGGACAGACCGAGAGAACCACCCATGACAGGTGTGCCCCTGCCCACTCGCCGGCTGCCAGCCAGCCAGGAGCTCACGGAGGCCAGCGAGGCAGGGGGAGGGGTTCAGGCCCAGGGGTGGCCGGGCCAGGAGGAAAGGCCCCGAGAGGAGGGGCCCCGCCCGGGCAGTGCCCTCTGCCTGTGGTTCCTGCCTGTCTGGCGGCAGGAACCAGGGGCTGAAATTTCATCTGGTGACTACAGGCCCCCAGCCACCCAGGTCCCCTGGATCCCTGCAGGTGTCCCGCCACTGCAGCCACAGGTAAGCCCCCGAGGCCGGAGGGCTGCTCAGGGCCCTGGGTGTGCTGAGCGCTGGCGGCAGCGTGCTCTGGGGGAGCTCACACATGCAGCGAGCACCCAGGGGTCCACGGGACGGGGGGGCTGCCCAGAGACATGACCAGAGCTGTGCCTGGCTCCCCGTGAGGGGCAGGGAGAAGCATCCCCGAGAGAGTCCAAGGTTGCCGTTTGGGGACACTGGGTGCCATCACGGGTTGGTGCTAAGTGCTGTCCTTTCTAATGGGGTGGGCTGAGGAAATGAGTCCGCCTTCCTGGTGGGTACCTGTGGAGGGGGCCGGGGAGCCCACGGGAGAGTGTGAGCTCGGCCCCCGCGGCCCTGCGAACTGTCTCCTCCTTCGGGTGCCCCTGGGTGGTGGTGGGCGCAAGGCCTGCCCGTTGCCTGCAGGGTGTGCCAAGGGCCCTGCTCAGAGTCTCTGCCTGGGTCCTGGCCGTGGCTCATGGGCGTCAGGAGGGCTCAGACTTCGCTCCCGGCCCAGGAAGAGCAGCCCAAGGCCTCCAGCCCGCTCAGGGAGCACCCGAGGGGTCAGGGATTCAGCGTGAGGCAGGCGACCTTGGCGCTCTGTGCGCAGGCGGGGCCTGGGGCAGCCTGCCCGCCCGTCTCACACGGGAAGCCACCGTGTGAGGTCACCCCAAGGCCACCACTGACCATCAACTTTCACAACCTGCTTCCACTTCCGAAGATGATGCCAGGAAAGTGCTCAGAGCCCTTTCCAGTCAGGGGTGTGACGAAGACAGTGGCTGCCCCAGGGACTCTGTGCGCCTGCTGGGACCGCGATACAGGCACCCGTGTCCCTCAGGGCGGCCATTTCATGGCTATTTCAGGGAGTGCAGTGGGTCCCTGCAGGGCACTCCTGGGGTGCCCTCTCTCCAGGTCTGTGCTGCCGTGGCGGGCTCCGTGGGCACACCCGTCGGGGCCGTGGCGGGCTCCGTGGGCACACCCGTCGGGGCCGTGGCGGGCTCCGTGGGGCACTCCTGTCGGGGCCGTGGCGGGCTCCGTGGGCACACTCCTTGGGGCCGTGGCGGGCTCCGTGGGGCACTCCCGTCGGGGCCGTGGAGGGCTCCGTGGGGCACTCCCATCGGGGCCGTGGTGGGCTCCGTGGGCACTCCCATCGGGGCAGTGTTGGGCTCCGCTCCGGGCTGACTTGCCCAGTTCCTGGCGCAGCGGGACGTCAGGAAGTGCGTTCAGTCAGAGCCCAGCGCTTCCTTCACAGTGAAACTCCATTAGCCCCCAAGCCGTGGCCACGCCATGAACTTCCCAGCTGCCCTGTCCCGTCGAGGTCGCGGTGAGCACAGCGGTCGGAACGGCCTCCACCGGCTGCCCAGATGCCGTCCGAAATGGCGAGGCCTCCGCGGCAGCTGAGGGACTGCTTCTTCCTCTGAATTCTCCCCACACGGGCCTGACGCAGCACCGCTCTGCGTGCTCCCCACCTGCGGCATGTCCGCATCCTGACGGCACAGAGCAGGTGCCCCAGGTCACCTGCACTGGGTGTGCTGATCGAGGTGGGGCTGTGGTCACAGCTGGCGACGTGCCCAGACCACCGGGCTCATCTGGCCAGTGCCTGTGGGTCACTGGGCACCATGCAACGAGCAGAAGCTCAGGGGACCAATCCGGGCTAATGTGGCGACAAATGCCAGGCAGCCCCCTCCTCCTGCCCCAGGCCCTTTCCACAGCCAGTGTGACAGCCCAGCTCCACTGTGGCTCTGGCCTAATTAGGGTAATTAAAATGAAAGTAATCAAAGCAATAGGAACTCTCTTAATAAACTGTCACCGCTGTGTGTGTCGCTCGGGTGCTATGCCTCTGTGAAGGCCAAGGGGCCACAGAGCAGGCCGGGAGCCAGCAGGAAGACCAGGCCCCGCTGACCACCCCTGCCCAGTGTGGGCCTTGACCCCAGACTCCCTAACGGGCCCAGACCCTGGGAAGGAGACCAGAGACGCAGCACCCCACTCCCAGGGCCCTGCACCCCATCCCCACAGTGGGCACCCCACCTGGTTCCCTGAGCCCTGCAGAGCACCAGGGCTTTGCCTGGCACCTGAGCCCTTGGCATCTCGGGCTGGGAGGGGTCCTTGCCCAAAGCAACACCATCTTTCCAGGATCCTGCAACCTCCTCCCCTCCCCAGGGCCCTTCCAGGGCAGCAGCCCACGAAGGGCCTGTTCTGCTGCTGCTGGGCGGGGAGGGGGTTCCCAAAATATCACCTCCTACCGCAGCCCCTTCCTCAAGTACAGCCAAGGTGACCCCAGCCTGCGGCTCCTGCGACAGCCCCTTAGAGCCACCTTCAGGGCGTCGCCTCAAGGGGGGGGACAGTGCCAGAGGGAGGAAGCTGGCCCAAGGGGGCTGGATGTGCAAAGGGCCCCGTCTGCCTCCCTGGTGCCGGGAGAAGCGAGGGGCGGGCGCCCAGGGCAGCTGGGATGACCCACAGGAACCCAAGTGGACGGTGGCCTGGGGGCGGTTTCCCTGGCAGCAGCCTGCAGGGTAAAAAGTACCCCAAACAGCCTGGCAGAGTGCTGGGGCCAGGGCCCCTCCCCGCCCCTTCCTGGAGCGCCTTCCCCAGCGGAGGACAAGGAGGGTGTGGACTGAGGGGTGGTCTAAGGTGCGGTCAGCTCCACGGGCGTCCAGCGGCCCCGCACACGGAGCCCGCAGTCTGCTGGGAAGCTGCCCGGAGCCTGGCCCTTCGGGGGTGGCTCTCCCCGCGCCTCCCCGCGCCTCCCCGCGCCTCCCCGCGCTGGGGCTGGGGAGCCCAGAACCGCCGGGTCGGCAGGGATCTGGGCCGCAGGCAGGGAAGGGCGGGGCCGGGGAGGGGGCGCCCGGCCGCTGGGGGCGCAGCTGAGGCGCGGGCGGCGAGGTGTTGACGCTCTCCGGGGAAACGCACCGGCCCCGCGGCCCGGGCTTGGCGGCAGTGGGGCGCCTGGGAGCCCAGCCGCTCGGACTCTGGAGGGGCTCGCTCACCATCGCTCCTGGGAAGCGCGCCTTTCCCTTTCCCGTGCGCCCCGACAGCCTGGAGCACACGGGAGTGTGACCGTGTGCACACGTGTGTTAGGAGGTGCGTGTGCGCCTGTGTCTGTGCTGTGCGTGTGTCGGTGTGGGTCAGAGAGCGTTGACTGGGTGGGCAGCTTGTCTGCAGGCCCTGGGAGCCTGGGAGAGAGGGCTGAAGTACTTACTTCCTCGGGCCAGAAGGTTTGGGAGGGAAGGGCCTTGTGGTGGGGCTGGTCCTAAACCCATCTGAGAACGGATGCCCTGGCCTGGCCAGTGGCTCCCCACCACCACCCAAGGGCCAGGCAGGTGCCCCTCCGCAGCTCAGCACCCCTCCCACCTCTCATTAGGCAGGTGTGGGAGGTAGCGGGGGTGTGACTCTGAGGCTGGACTGGTCTAGTGAGTCTCACTGCTCAGAAGGCTGGGAGTTGCTTGTGTGACCTGGATTGATCGGGGGTCCACCTTCCTGAGGGGCCTGTGCTGGGAGGGACAGGAGGTGGAGCAAGGGCTCGGGGTCCCTGGCCCCTCAGGCCACCCAACTCCTCCCCCGTGGGCGCTCAGGGCATCATCCATAGCATGGCCATTGCTGAGCAGGGTCACAGTCCCATTCTGCAGAGGGGGAAGCTGAGGCCCAGAGGCAAACAGTGGTCTGGCAGCCTGGCCAGGCAGACCCTGGTAGCCAAGCGCCCCAGCCCCACAGACATGGCCTGCAGACACACCTAACGGCTGGGGTCACCCCGTTCTCACCCAAGGGGCTCCCCACTGACAGGCTTCATGGGGAGGGGCGGGCTGCTGCAGGCCCAGGGCTGGCTGCTGTTGGAGCAGTGACCACACCGCCCTCCCCCGCAGGAGCCGGAGGACCGGACATGGGCTCACCGGAAGTGCCAGCGTGATGTCGGCCCAGGAGCTTGTGGCCTGCCTCTGCCGGGAGGGGGACCAGCACCTGGCCCTGGGGGAGCCCCCACTGGCCACCGCCTTCTACCTGGCTGCGTTCAGCTGCCACGCCCCCTCCGCCGTGCGGAGCGTCCGCGCTGCCCTGGCTGAGGCCCGCGGGGCACCCGTGGTGGCCACGCTGGAGGCCTGGTGCCGAGGGGAAAGCCAGATCCCGGCCATTCACTGGGATGGCATGGCGGTGGTGTCCCTCACCGGGACCCTGGCCTCCGCCTTCCTGGCCGCCCTGTGCCCGGACCACCCGGCCGCCGTGCTGCACGCCCTGGCCGGCCTGCTGGCCCACGGGCGCCACGGGGAGGTGGTGCGGCGGTGCGGCGCGCTGCTGGACGCCCACTCCCAGCAAGCCCTGGAGCTGCAGCTGACCCGCGCCCTGGCCTGGATCCTGTCCGGGGCGCAGGTGGACGCGGGCCTGGCCCAGTACCTTCAGGCCTTCGCCTCGAGGGCTGACCGCACCGTGACCTTCGTCCTCACCCACCAGCAGCCCTACCTCCCCGTGCTGGTCAGCACTCTGCAGGACCACGTCTCCAGGCGGCAGCAGGCTGGGGACAGCGCCGGCCAGCAGGAGACTGACTGCCAGAGACTCCTGGCCGCCCTGGACCCCGGGGGCACCTGGAGCAATGCTCTGTCCCCTGAAGTTCTGCTCCGCGGGGGCAGGTATGAAGACTGCCGGGCAGCGTGCAGCCGGGCCCTGGAGTCCGACCAGACCAGTGACAGACCTCAAGGTAGGAGTGCGGGTCATGTGCCCTAAGAGTCGGGGTGAAGGTCAGTCCCGCCACTTCTTCTCAGCGCAGCTCAGCTTGTGGTGGGGAAGGAGTGTGCTGAGGCCGGGACACCACAGTGACAGGATGGACAGGCCCTGCCTCTGCGGAGCACCCACGGGAAGAAGCACACAAGTACCTGGAGAAGTGAAACATGCAAGGTGTGCTTCTAGCCAGGTGATCAGGGCAGGCTTCCGGGAGGAGGTGTCACTTGAGCTGCAACAAGGATTCCAGGTCGCTGAGGGAGAAAGAGCTTGGGGTGTCTGTGCCACTGAATGGCACTCGAGTGGCTGTCAGGGGGGAGGAGGCAGACGGAGAGTATGCTGTCCTGGCCAAGAAAACTTTCAGATGTGACCCGCAGAGTAGCCAGAACCGTGGGAGGGTTTACACTGTGGGGTGAGGTGCTCCGAGTTGCCTTTGTAGAGTCTCTTCTGGCTGCTGTGACCAGAATGTGCCTGGGAAGCCGAGCGAGAACCGAACCTCCTGGGGGGCTGGGGGTGGTCCAGGTGGGGGGCTGGTCCAGGCCCTGGGTGGGGATGTGGTCCAGGCTGGGGGTGGGGTGGGTGGTCCAGGCTGGGAGTGGGGAGTGTGGTCCAGGCCCGGGGTGGGGAGTGTGGTCCAGGGTGGGGGTGGGGCGGGTGGTCCTGGGTGGGGGTGGGGAGTGTGGTCCAGGCTAGGGGTGGGGCGGGTGGTCCAGGGTGGGGTGGGGGGCTTGTCCAGGCCTGGGGTGGGGAGTGTGGTCCAGGCCCGGGGTGGGGAGTGTGGTCCAGGGTGGGGTGGGGAGTGTGGTCCAGGGTGGGGGTGGGGCGGGTGGTCCAGGCTTGGGGTGTCCAGGTCTGGAGGACGACTGGGCTCAGCAGAGGACCAGGCTGGAGGCTGGAAGGCGAGAGGTGGCGGAGGTGCAGATGGAGGAGCAGAGTTGGGGAGAGACGGGTCTGAGACATCGCTAAATGAGAAATGACGAGATTGTGTCTAGATTTAATGGTGGCTTTACGAGCTCACGTTTCGTGACTAGAATGCAGACAGCAGGGGAGGAACACACCGGAGAGGGGTGCAGGGTTTTCCACACACCCGGCTTGAGCCCCACTTCTGCCTGGCCCCTCTGTGGGTCCTCCTCCTGGTGGGGGCGGCACCAGACGCCGAGCTCCCTCCCAGCTGCGTGGCCTCTCGGCCGCCCTGGGTGCACCTGGGCTGCTGGCTGCACCCACTCTGTGCGCCGCGGTGGGAGTTCAGTGAAAATTGTACCAAACGTTTGTCTTCCCTGGCTGCTTGAGATCGTCCACCATCACGAATGACACAGTAACTGTTGGGACAGGAAGTGCATGACCCAGACTCCTTCAGTGGAAAGAAACCGGCATCACATCCTTCAGCCCAGGGAGGCAGCCGCCCGAAGACAGAAATTCGGGGAAACTGGCCGAAAGGTACCAGCCGCAGCAGACGCCCCCTTTCTGCCCGGATTCAGACCCATCCTGGAGGCGGCCAGGCAGCTGGCGTTGGCCTGACTTGGGATTTCTGGGATCACACAAAGGAACCTGAACCCAGACAGAGCCTTGGAAGACATGCCTGTTTGGGGAGAGGACCCCGAGAACCCAGAGAGGAACACACGGAGACGGCCGGGGCTGCAGAAGGGACCACTGCGGGGGTGGCCGAGTTCTCCTGCCAGGATGGATAAACTGAGGACATCGGTGTAGGCAGCACACGGCCGCCAGAGCGGGACGCTTGGTTTGAAGGAGAGGGTTTGAAACCGTCCACACAAAGAAGGCATTTAGCCCCGGCCGGTTTGGGGGTGGTGCGGCCACCTCCCCAGTGCCCATGGGTGCTCCTAACCACCCACCCCCTGGCTCCCTAAGGAGGACCCAGTGGAGGGGACGGGGGACAGGAAGGAGGGGGAAAGGAGCCTGCGCGGCGCTGCGAGGGCATGTGCAGGGCGAGGGGTGTGCCGTGTGCCGGGAGCTGGTGCTGGGATGCCCGGGAGGACAGGACAGGAAGGCCCACTGGGAGGTGAAGGTGACCCCGATGTGGGAGGCAGACCAGAGGGCGCTGCAGAGTGAGTGGGTAAATTTGTTTTTGGAAATACACTAGACCAGATACCCTAAAGCCCTCCACTATAAAAAGTATAAAAATGCTCAGCAGAATCACAAAGAATCCTGAGCGTATGAGACAGTAGGGGACCCTCCGTGCCCAAAGCACGAACTTGCAGTGGCTGGTGAGCAGGGGCCCATGCCATGGCAGGTTGGGGGCACTCTGCAGCTCCCAGGTGAAGGGGTCCGCCACTGTAATGACCAGGAGTGACCTTGCAGGCATTCAGAACCCCCAAAGGTCTGCAACTTCAGAGAACAAGTATGCTAGAAACACTGTCCCTCCCAGGGGAGATGGTCAGGAAGCTTGTCTGTCCCGCCTTGGCTCTCAGCTGGATGCGAGCATCTTCCCCAAAAGCACTGCATGAATTAGACCAAAGTTATCACACCACCAGCAGCACAAGTGTGGCTTACGACGGGAACAAATAAATTTCCTATCACAAATTTTTTCCAAATGCAGTTTCCCATAACAAATGTATTCTAATCTCAAGGTTACTTATCAAAAGTCCTTGCTAACATTGAACAAAACTTCTGTATCTTGGAAAGTGCTCTGTCCTTCATTTAAGTAGATACAGGGACAAGATGCAGAGTAAGAATAGCTTTAACTCCAATCTCCCAGTGTGTAAGCAACTGTGTGCCATGGTTTCCTGAGCTCTGATCCTCCGAAAGCACCCAGGGCAACCATCTCCTATACATTAAGTGTTCTTCATTAAGAACTATACAGAAAGATAACATATATCAAAAACCTACCAAAAACATCATACTTAATGGTGATATTTTAGAAGCCTTCCACTTAAGAATGAGGTGGCTGCTCCCTTTATCCATCGTTGTATTAGAGATGCTAGCCAATGCAATAAGATAAGAAGGGAGAAAAATTTGTAAGACAGAAAGGAAGAAACAAAGTTATCATTAATTCCACACAATATAATTAGCTATGTAGAGACCCCCCCCCCCGAAAAAAGGTATTAAATATGGGAACAGAATTTAACAGGATATACAGAAAGCATTTATATTTATAGGCACCAGCAAGAAATAGAAACACCGTGGTTAAAACATATACCATTTACTATAGCAACAGGAAACAATTTATTTCAGAGTCATATGATTTTATGAAGAAAAGTATAATACTTTATTAAGAGATAATAAAGAATGCCCTTGCCAGTTTGGCTCAGTGGTTAGGAGAGGGGGAGGAGATGGAGAAGAAGGTCATGGTGTAAGGATTTTTCTCTACCAATAAATGCAAAACTATACTAACCAGTAGAGAAGGTTACTGACTTAAGGGATAGACAGAAAACAAATAAAACAAATTAGGCCAGAAACAGAGCCGTATATATCTGGAACTTAATATGTCAGAGTGAGCATCGCAAATCTACAGTGAAAGAAGAGGACTATCGTTCAGTGGGTAATGCTGATTCTCTACTTCAAACCATGCAAAAAAAGTAAGGTCCAGGGGAACTGTGTCATTAGTAAGTTTCACAGAAATGAAAGTGCAACAGAGTATCATTAAGAATTCTGTGAACAGCTGGGTTCTCAAGATACAAAAAGTGGAAACAGTAAAGGAAAATGTGATACATTTGATGAAATTGAAATGTTTAAACTTCTGTCTTGCCTACAACTATAGAAAGTAAGAGGACAAACCACAACAGAGAATATTTGAAAACTATACAATGGCCAAAAAATTAGTACCCAGAGTATTTGAAGAATTCCTACATGTCAATAAGGGAAAAAAAAAAAATCTGGTGCTAGAATAAGCAAAAGCATTTCCCCAAAGAGAAGATACAGATGGTTAATGAACATGTGGAAAATATCCAACATCACTGTAATGATACAAATGCGAATTAAAGCGAGATACCACTTTCTACCGAGCAGATTGGGGAGGAAAGTATTTTTATGTAAATGAGCCTCACTAGTAATCAGGAAAATGAAAATTAAACCAACAATGGAAAAGCATTTTATACCCCCTCAGATTACCAAAATGTTTAAGTCTAACTGTAGAAGAGTCTGGCTTCCAGTAATGGTGGAGTAGCTTGACTAGACTATGGACCTCACCGAGAGCAACAACAAAATTTGGACAAAATATAAAATGCAACCATTTGAAGGTACTGAGCAGCAACTGAATTCAGGCAGAAACTGGAAGTTGACCCTTGAAATATGAGGACTGTGAAAAGTGAGATTTGCATGCTTGTAGCTCTTGACCTGAGGAAACTCCTCCACCCAGGTTTGATCTGTGTAAAACAGAAAGCAGCAGTTTTACCAGCTTGTGATGTCATAGGACAAAGTTCAGGGCTGAAAAAATAAATGTCTGGAAAGTTAGAAGGGAAGTACTGAGGAGGAAGCCACAGAGAGGGTGAAACCCAAACTCTGAGAATTAAGTGCAGCTGACCACCAAACTACACATACAGGGGACACTGGGTGGTCTGAAAAAGCAGAAGTTAGAAACTGCAAGAACTTAGTGGAGATTTTAGCTGTTACCCACCAAGTAGACAGAATATGGAGGTAGAGTCTATGCATTGTAACTGCCTGCTCAAACAAAATTATTTTCTCTTCAGAGGAACATAACTGAATCCTGTTTCTACAAAGCGTCAACCAGATGTCTAGTGTACAATAATTGCTAGACATGCAAAGAAACAGGAAAATAAAATGTGAGCCACAGTCCGGAGAAAAAGAAGTCACTAGAAACTTACTTCAAGATGATCCAGGTGCTAAAATTAGCATACTGAAGACTTTAAAGGAAGTATCAGCAATATGCTCAAGGGCTAAAGGAAAATATGGTCATAATGAATGAACAGGTGTGGAATCTCAGCAAATAAATAGAAACTATAAAAATTCTAGAACTGAAAAGCACAATAACTGAAATGAAAACTTTATAGCATATTGGAGATAGCAAAAGAGTCAGTGAGCTTAAATTTAGAAGGGAAATTATTCAGTATCACAAACAGGGAAAATGTACACAAGCCCCAGTGCCCTGTGGGACAATCTATAGAAGTCTAATGTGTGTAACTGGAGTCTCAGAATCAGAGAACACACACACTTCCTTGTGTGTAAAGAAATCACCTTTTGTCCAGCTGGTGTGGCTCACTGGTTGAGCATCGACCTATGCAACAGGAGGTCGCTGGTTTGATTCCCAGTCAGGGCACCTGCCCAGGTTGTGGTCCCGATCCACAGTGGGAGGCGTGCAGGAGGCAGCTGATCAATGTTCTCTCTCATCAATGTTTCTATCTCTCTCCGTCTCCCTTCCCCTCTCTCCAAAATCAATAAAGAAAAAACATTTTCAAAAAAAGAAAGAAAGAAATAATCATTCCCCCAGGCCCCAAGCTCTCTGCACCTCCTGCAGCTGCTAGGATCCATGAGCTATCTTGCAAGCCAGCAATAAGAGTTATTCTGTGAAGGGTTAGTAACCGGCAGAAGAGATTCAAAGTTTCTTTTATTTGGCCACCAGGACTAGACAGGGTGACCCTGCTATTGGTTGCTTCATTGGTTGGTTGATTTCGGGGTACAAGACCCTTTTTTGACTTGGCTCTGACGTGGTGCTTACCCACAATGGCAACAGGGCAGGTGGGGGCAGATTGGCTCCCACGCCTGCTCCCGTTTGCATGTAAAGGGTTGTGTTCTGGGGTGACTGTCCAGTTATAAGGAAAAGCTCTGAGGATTCTAGGGGACGCGGTGCAAAGAGCAGTCAGGTGGAGGCCCCAAGACCTGGGATGGAGATGCCCCTGAGCCCCGAGGACTCCCCTCCCTGGCAACCCTTCCCTAACCTGTCATGTGGGGTGGGGGAGGGGCACCCATGACCTTGAGCTCCCGCCAGCACTGAGTTCACAGCGGTGTGCGCCTGCCTGGGGCACCGCCGGGGGTGGGGGGTTGGCTTTCTGTACAGGCGCGAACTCCCCCTGAGCACCACTGCCCACCAGGCCCTCTCCCAGGAACTGGGCACACATTCATCCATTTCATTCTCGGGGTGCTGACGGTAGACCATGGCATCCCATTATGAAGCAGAAGGAGAAACTGAGGCATGGGAGTTCCGTGAATGGCCCGAGCCCTCGACTCTGGTCGGGTACTGGGTGCATCATCCCCTCTTTCCCGGACCGGGCGCAGTGACAGCCAACCCCTACCAAGGTCACAGGGTCAGACCTCAGCTCTGACCTGCAGCAGGAACTCAGCCCTAAAACCCATTCTTAAAAGGTCAGGGTGGGGGTCTGGGACAGCGGTGCTGTAACTAAATGTCCATGTTGGCTGAGTGGTGGGACTGACCCCAGGGCAGCTGTCCACCCAGCCGTCCCCCGGCTTCCCACCAGCGAGCTTCCCGGCCTCCTGCCGCGTTCCTCCTGGTGACGCGATGTCCTGGGAGATTCTGTGAGAGGGACAGTGCTTCAGGGGGCCCAAGTGCTGGACGGTTGTGGGGCTACCGGTGGCACCCCGGTAGGACCTGGTCCAACAGGTCCTCTCTTCTCTCCCCCAGGTGAGCGTTTGGCCGCCCTGCTGGTCACGCGCGCGGCCACAGCCTTCTTCCTGGACAGCGGGACCCATGACCTGCTTCGGGATCTGCACGGGGCCTTCCGCGAGAGCCCCTCCGGGGCGCGGAGGCAGTTCGAGGCCGTGCTCACGGCAAGAGACCGGGAGCGCGTGCTGGCCCAGGTGCAGGAGGCTGTGGACGTGGGCTTTGCCCACTTCCAGGAGGCCGTGCGGAGCCGCCCCGAGCTGCGCGAGGACTCGGGCCGCGAGCTGCTGGCCCCGGTGATGCGCGCCCTCCGTGTCCTGCTGCGCGTGGCGCCGCCCGGGGCGCGCCCGGCACTGGGCGCCCACCTGGCCGAGTGCGTGCTGCTGGCGGGAGACGCGGCGGGCGCCCGCGCGCTGTGCCAGCGCCTGCTGCGGCCCTCGCGCCCCAGGGACGGTGCCGGCAAACGCGCTGTGGACCGTGCGGGGAACCGCGCGCCTCTGCTGGCGCTTCGCGGCTTCTGCGCGCTGCACGTCGGGGACACGCCATGCGCCCGGGAGGACTTCCAGGAGGTGGTGGAGCAGGAGCCGCCGCACCACGGCGGCTGCGTGCGTGCCCTGTGCGGCCGCGGGCTGCTGCGGGTGCTGGCGGGGAGTGCGTTCCTCGGTGCGCTGGACTATGTCACCGCCTGCCGACTGCAGCCCGACGAGGCTCTGCTCGTCTCCAAGGCCTACGTGCCCTGGAACCAGCGGGGGCTGCTGCTGACCGTGCTGCGGGAGGAGGGCCGCAGGATGCTGCAGCGCAGGCCGGACTCGAGACCCACGGGCGCGCGGGGCCGCCGGGGCCAGGCCGCTGCGCAGGAAGGGTAAACGCCAGCCCCGTGCGCGCTCCTGGGGCTGCTCCATGCTGGGCTTCTGCGCGGTGGCCCGGATGTTTCTCCCTGTCTTGCAGATGAGTAAACTGAGGCAGGGGAGGCTGGGTGATTTCTTTAAGTCATTGGTGGCAGATTTACTGCAGGCCCAGGCGATGCATGAAGTGCTGACCTACGGAAACTTGGAAACTCACACGCGGGAATGAGATACTAAAACTTGCCTATCACCCCACCATTAGCATCCCCTTCTAGCCGGTTCTCTCTGTGCATACAGAATGTAGTTCACAAAAGTGAATTGTTCTGTGTGCGCAATTTGTACCCCACTTTTTCCATTCAGTGGATTGTGGACATTTCCGCAGCCCCAGAGCCTGGCCGTGACCTGGCCGTCATCCCGCGGCTTCTGCTCTTAGTTATAAGGCACCCGGGGAACTTCGGTCTCCTCCATGTCTGCCCTTAACGTGGCGGCAGAGGAGGCGTTCCTGGGTCAGGGATGGTGGCCCCTGCGAGGTCCTTGACTCCGGGAGCTGCCCGCCTGCCCGGCGGGGCCCACACCCAGCCCTGCGGTGACTCCGCCCAGTGGGGACTCCGCGGCTGTTTTGAGCTAGAAGCACTGAGCTGGGGGTGCGGCGCTTGTTTGATGTCGCCACCACTTCCTCTGCTCCTGGTCGTTGGTTCCGCATTGCTTTGATTTGCTGGTGGAGCCCTTTCTGTTTGTTGGCTCTGGGAATTTGCACATTCCAGCACCCCCACCCACACCCAGTGTGAGTTCATTCACATCCCCAGGGCATCAGGAGCGTAACCTGCTGTGTGCCTGGCTCTGCCTACCACACTCCCTGCGCACAGCAGCGCCAGCATGCATGTCCTGTTTTGCAGAAAAGGAAAGTGAGGCAGGTCAGCACAGGGCCTTGATTCTCCCCTCTGTAAGATGCCTGCCCCACGGGGTGAGGGGAGGTAGAGAGAAAGGGCGACGGCCTCGTGTGGGGCCTTCCAGCAGCACCCTGGTCTCTGCAGCCCCAGGCAGGCCCCCCAGCAGAAAGGGAGCTGCCTGAGCCAGGTGCGTGGGATAAGACTTGCCTATGGCCGGCCTAACGGGGGGGTGGGGGGGGGGCGGGGGTGAAAAGGTGTAGGGAGAGGCCGCGCTCCTCCAGCATCTCTCTCTGCAGGGATGCCCAGGGCGTGTACCAGCTGGCCACGCTCCTGATGGAGCTGGACCCGGAGGATGAGGCTTCGCGCCTCCTGGCGGCCGATGCCCTGTATCGCCTGGGCCGCCTGGGTGACGCCCACAAGGCACTGCTGGTGGCGCTCTCCCGGAGGCCCCAGGCCGCCCCTGTGCTGGTGCGGCTGGCCCTGCTGCAGCTCCGGAGGGGCTTCTCCTACGACGCCAACCAGGTGAGGCGGCGGCCCCTCACTCTGCACCCCACAACCTGCGCTCCCAGCCCTGGCAGGTCGCTCCCTCTCTGACCCTCGGGCTCCGCATCCGAGCCCTGGGCTTGCCCACTGTCACGGGATTGGCTGGCAGAGGTGCCCAGGCCCCAGCAGGCCCCGGCGCGCAGCAGGTGCTCCGTGTTCCTTTGCTGTGTTGTGAAGGGAAAGGGCTTTGAGTGCAGGCGGAGCTTCGTCCCAAATCTCCCGGGTGAACCCGGCTCGGCCGTGACCCTGCCCCCCGCCCTGCTTGCCTCCCTCCCCCTCCCTCGTGTTAGGAGGGCTCCCTGTTGGAACGTGGTCAGGTTACCTTCCAGGGGGAGATGTTGGGCTTTGGGGCGGAGACTGTGTCCTGTCAGAGTCCTCCTTCCCCTCTGGTGTCCCTGCACTGGGCGATACAGGGGGAGGCAAGGATGCTTTGGGACCTGTGCCCACAGCGAGCGGCCAGCAGGGGCACCGTTGGGTCTCTTTGGGGTGGAGCTGCCCTGAGCCCAGGCCCTGTCCACCAAGGGTCTCGCTCCACCGGGAGCAGGCATTGGTCCCGGGACTTTTGCTTTTCCTCCTCCCATGTCACGGAGGAGGGCGCGGCCCGAGGGCACTGGGACACCTCCAACTCCCGCCACGCAGCGGAGAGGAGCAGCCCAAAGGGCGCTCACACCTCCCGGACCCCAGCCTTCCCTGTGCGCAAAGCTGGGAGCACGCAGTCCCGGCTCCGCTGTGAGGCACACCCCCAGGGGCCACACCCCCACGAGCCACGCCCCTTGCGAGCCACGCCCCTGTGAGCCTCGTCCCTGTAAGCCACCTTGAGCTACGCCCCCGTTGGACCCCCTCCGCGGGCTGCGTCCCCAAGAGCCAACTCTGTGGGCTACGCCCCCGTTGGCCACGCCCCCGTGAGCCGGACCCTGCGAGGAGCGTGGGGTTGGAATGCACTAGGGCACAGGGAGGAACTGCGGTGACTTCCCCGGTCCTGCAGCTGGTGAAGAAGGTCGTCCAGACCGGGAACACCGCCTGTCTGCAGCCCACCCTGGATGTCTTCCGCCGGGAGGACCGGCAGCTGCTGCGGGGCCACTGCCACGCGCGGGCCTTGGCCATCCTGCGCGCACAGCCGGACGGGGCGCAGGGCGACGCCCACACGCGGGAGGCCATCGCCTACCTCTCTCTGGCCATCTTTGCTGCAGGTAGGAGCTGCCTGGGCGCCCGCAGGGCCCCCATCCTGTGCCGGGTACATAGGAGCGTGGTGAGCTCTGCCTCGCTGGGTGTGGGGCCAGGGGTTCCAAGGACACCCTTGGTCCGCGGGTATTGGGTGTGTGCGCCCGGAAGGCATCCATGGGGCGGATAGGGAGTGGACCACTCTGAGGGCATCTTGCACGGACGCCCTGGCCGTCCAGGTGAGTATGCCAAGGCCTGGGAGAGGGAACCAGGGGGGCGCTGAGCTGGACCTCCCCACACCCTGGCCCGTGAGGGTAAGAGGGCCAGCTGAGGTTCTTCTACCCACTTTGCTCCGCCAACCCAATCGCGGGAGGTGAGGGCTCAGCTGCCCAAGCCCTTCCTGGAAATGGTGGAGTTGGCTCCGGATGTGTGCGCCTGGCCTCCACGCTCACCCAGCCAACCCGCTGGCCCCACCCTGGGAGCCGGGCAGGGGCCTGGCCAGAGGGTCGCAGGGTGACAGGGAAGGGACATTCCCAAGGGACAGTGAGTTCCTGGGGTGCTCGGGACTCAGTGTGGACTTGGATTCTGAATACAGTGCATTTCTGTCTCTGCACTTACCGGGCACCTCCCTCCAAGTGGGTGGACGAAGATGCCCGAGGGGCTGGGAGTGAGGACAGTCAGGGATGGTGCCTGGGGCAGAGTCCACATATCCCAGGTTAGCTGGGAAGGGGACACCACCCTCAGCATTCTGCAGAGGCCAGAGCATTGCTCCCTGTGTCCATCACTGGACGCGCACTTGGAAGAAGCATGGTGGTGATGACCTCTTTGGGGAGGGGCTTCCTGTGCCCAGAATTCAGAGGGCTGCTCCATGCCCTCCTGGCACCTCCTTGCTGTGGCCATTTCATGCCCAGCCCTGAGGACCTGCCTCCACCTGGCCCCTCAGCTCAGATGCACACTTCTCCCAGAAGCTCCTTCCGACTGGCACTGGCCCTCCCAGATGCCACTCCTCCTGGGTGGGCTCCCCGTGCCCTGCAGCCAGACTGCTCCCCTGTGTGTCTTGGTGCCCAGTGGTCTGGTAGCTCCCGAGGTGGCCCCACAGCCGGTGCACCCTTTGCCCCCCTCCACACTGGGCACCAGGAGGGGCGCAGTAAATGCTGGATAAAAACAGATGCGCGGTGCCCACCCGTGTTCATCAGTGGTCAATGAATGTCCTGATGCCACATCCCCTTCCTCCAGGGAGTCAGGCAAGTGAGTCCCTGCTCACCCGCGCCCGCTGCTACGCGCTCCTGGGCCAGAGGAAGACGGCCTTGTTCGACTTCAACTCCGTGCTGCGGGCAGAGCCCGGGAACGTGCAGGCCCTGTGCGCACGCGCGCTCCTGCACCTGGCCCTGGGCCAGCAGAAGGTAGGGCCCGCCCACCCTCCCCACCGGGCCTGAGCCAGGGGGGCGGGGTGCTTCGGGGCGGGCGCTGCCTTCCTCCTCACTCCCCGGGAAGAGAGGAAGCAGGATTAGGCCATCCTGTGAGTCACCCATCAAAACCCCACTGCCTGGGGCTCCGGAGCCTCTCACATCCCATTTGGGGAGCAGCTCCCTTTCATCTGCCGAGTCCTGTGCCTCCCAGCCTCATCAGCATTGGCACAGGCAAACCCTCAGGGCTACCAGGGGCACCAGCTTAAAATAACGAGACCTCAGCTGCCACGCAGGTGCCATCCTGAGCTGTCCGCCAGGGGGCCTGTGGATGCCGGTCATCAGTGTGCAGGGGCGGGGCGGGAGGGGGCCCACTGCCAGGCCCAGGGCAGGTGCTTCTCCGAGAGAAGACATGCCCAGAGGCAGCCACAGCCGAGTGGCGCTGGACAAGGCGTTTCTCAGCCAAGAGCAATGTCCCTGGCAGGTGACCGAGCGTGGCTGTGTGCCTGAGGCTTCGCGGGGTGAGCGAGCTGCTGGAGGTAGCCTGCCTGCCAGCTTCTCTCGTCTGCCTAGGGCTGGAGTTCTCTGAAGCAGGACAAACATCGCAGCTGCCCCGACACGAGGGCCCCTCCCCCACAGTGCTAGCTCCTGTGTCGGGGTGTCTGTTTCCCCCAAGGGCGCTGGCAGCCTGCAGTCCGTTCCGGCCCGGGCGCACGTGGGGTGGGAGCCCAGCCCTCTGCATGTCCCTTCCTGTGCTGGGCAAGTGTCTGTCGCCCAGGGACAAGCCCATCAAATTGAAATGGAAATCCGGCCAGGAGGGCCCCTCTGCAGGGGGAACCCTGGGCCTCTCCACAGGCCATTAGCTCCTCATTTTGGCTGACCCTCCCCCGGGGTTGTGAGAGGGCAGACAGCTCAGTGGTGTCCCCAACTTCCCAGACACTGGGAGGACAAACACTTGGCAAATACCCACCCTGCGCTCTCCCCTTGCAGGAGGCCACAGACGACGTCCTCTCGGCTCTGAAGCTGGATCCGGGCACAGCGGTCCCCGAGATCCGCTCTCTGAAGCCGGAGGCCCAGGCCATCATCACACAGGGCCTGTCATCCCACTGCCGGGGCCTCCTGAGCCAGCTGCCGGACCCCGGGGCCCGCCTCAGCGACGGGGACTTCCAGGGCCTCCTCGCCGCGGGGGAGGCAGTGACCCAAATCGACGCCGGGAAGCTGAGCGGGCACATCCTGCTGGCAGACGTGCTCATTGCCAGGGGTACGCGTTGGCCCAGGTGGGGGGTACACGGTGTCTGTCCCGGCTCCTCTCACCCCGGCGTCTTCTGTAACATGGGAGAGAGACCCTCGACTCTGTGGCCTCGAAGATCCCTTCCACCGGGATCCCAGGTCCTGGGACCCAGTCCCCATGTGCCTGGTGTGCCAGTGTCTCCAGCTCCCTGTCACCTAGGTGGCTTTGCCTGCAGGACAGAGACATGAAGCAGGGACTTGGGGCTTCATACAAGGCTCGGGCTTTCTCTGTAACTCATGTGTTAATTCACCAGATGTTGACTGAGTGTCCCTGGGACCTGGGTCCCCTCCAGGTGGGGTGTCTTATGCCCACATGTGTCAACCTGTCGGCCTTTCCTGAAAAATCCTGAACACATTTCAGCACTAACTTGAAAAGGGAGGTCTCTGCAGCCTGCATATCCCCACCTGTCACCTCACCTCCAATCCTGCTCCTATGAGCACCCGGGAGAGAGCAGACCCTCGTGGTGACCACGGTGAGGGGCTCCGAGCCATGCTATTCAGCCTGGGGGACATGGACTTAAGTGACCCCCCAGGCCGGGGTACTGGTAGCAGGCAAGCCCATGTGACCAGCATGGCATCACCATGTCCCTATGCTCCTGGTTGTTCCTCCCGGGACTGAGCCCTTCCGTCAGCCCCCTGCTCCCCGAGCCAGCAGAGCAAGAAAGGCTGTGGCGGGCTCCCCAACACAGTGCCACCTCTGCCCCTTGCCCCAGCGCAACCCTGACTGTCCTTCCCGGACCCCTGCCAGGCAGCTACGAGGAGGCTGGCGCCCGCCTACAAGAGGCCCTGTGCCCCACCCCGCCATCAGAAGTGGCCCGGGCCCGGCGTGGCCTGCTCCTGCTCAAGAAGGGAGATGTGCCGGCCGCAGCTGGGGACCTGCAGTGCCTGGCAGAGACAGACGCCAGAGACCTTGGCTTCCTGCTGAGTCTCCTGGAGGCCTCGGAGCGGCAGAGCCTGGCCCAGGTACGTGCAGCCCGGCACGGAGCCTCCATGTCAGCCCCTCCCCAGCACCACGGGCAGCTTTGCATTCCCTTTGGCTGATTTCAGGTGGGCGTGGGTGGGTGGGGTGTGAGCCAGAGGCCCCCAGGTGTCACCATCTCAAGCTAAGGTCTGAAAACTACACGAGGTGGATACACCACAGGTGACGGGTCGGGGAGAGGGAGAGGACCCCCTCCTCGGAGCCAGGCAGAACCAGTCAGGAGCGCCTTGCTCTGGTAGGAAGCCCATCCCAACACCAGGGCAGGCCAGGAGGGACGTGTTTCTCCCACTAAGAGCGCAGGTGGGAGGAAGCTCCTGTGGCTGACCAGAGAGGGGCCTTCGAAGGGATGTCGGGCTGGGGTCCCTGCCACTTTGGCTGGTTTTTCATTCCACTCTACTCCACAAGAATGTGCGAGCACCTTCCGCCAGGTGCTGGGTGGAGCATCAGCCCCGCCCTGTGGCCCGTGACCCTCAGGGGAGACAATGGGGCCCACTTCAGAGTGTAGGTCGCAGACCCGGGGACAGCTCAGTGGGGTGGCGAGGTCACAGTGGAGGTGAAACCATGGTGGGGACAGGCCAAGGCCATGGGGGACGGAGCTCAGAACAGGCCCGAATTGGGGCCGACGTGGAGGGGAGGCAGGGGCTGGCTGGGGGCGGTGTCTGGCCAAAGCGCCAAGGGACGCCCATGTCACAGGGGCCGGTGGCGGGCCCAGGGCGGGTGGACACAGTGCCTCCCCCGCGCTTTGTGCGCTTTGTGGGCGGGGCCCCGAAGGAACCACCTGCAGGGCAGGCCAGGGGCACGGCCAGCTGGGGAGCCGCGGACTCGGGGTTCGCACGCGTGCGGCCCGGGCGCCCATGCTCCAGCGGGCGCTCCGCCAGGAAGGGAAACCACACCGGTGTTTCGGCGCCGCGTTTGCTGCACGCAAAGAGCACGGGGCGGTGCCGAGGCCACGCGGCCGCCCGGGGCCAGGGGGCCAGGGAGCGAGCACGCGGAGGGCCGCAGGGCGCGGAGGCCTGGAAGCTGCTTCCCGCTGCGGGGAGAGTCCGCGCGACGCACTCCCGTTGCCCAGCAACACGTCCGACCCGGAAGAGAGCCGGAAGTGTTCGCGTCCCAGGTCCCGAGGCACTGCGCTTGCGCAGCAGCGGCCCCGCCCCTAAGCCGGACCGCGCGGAGCCTGTCGGGAGGGCGCTGCCCTGCGGGACTGTGCACAGGGCGGAGCTGCTGGTTATTGTCCTGCGGCCCGAGGGCGAGCGGGGCTCCGCCCGGTCCCGGCCGGCGGTCAGTGTGCCGTCGGTCAGGAGGGGGCACCGCAGCGCCCGGCCGACACTGGACGCTGGTCCCGGCCGCGCCTCCGTCCCCGCCCCGCGCGCACGTGGGCCTCCCAGCCTGTGCGGGCGCCCTGCGCGGGCGCTGGGGACGCGGCGCGGTGGGGCGTCGGTGCACCGGCCGCTCAGGGAACAGGGAGGGACCGGGACGCGCGGTCTTGCCGGGCCTCACTCCGCAGTGGGGAGCCGCTGCGGGATGGAGGAGAGCCACGAGGGGCCAGTGACCTGCCCGGGGGGCGGGGGGAGAGGCGTGTAGAGGGGCTCCCGGCACCCCGATCGCGCCGCAGCGGCCGCGGCGTGTCCGCACCTGCGACTGGCCCTGCACGACCTTAGTGAGAAGCCCGCTAGTGATTCCAGGCCTTGGGCCTTGGAGGGGGCGCGAGAACCAGGTGGGCCGGCGTGGTGCTTGCTCCCGTCCCCGGGGCCGGCAGCCTTGAAAGGGTGGGAGGCCCAGCTGGGCACCGGCCCATGAGAGGGGCCTGTAGGGGAGCTGACTGGAGAGGAGCAGAGGGAGGGAGGAGGTCAGCAGGGCAGTGGAGGTGTGAGAAGGGGAGGTCCTGCGAGCGGCCTGCAGAAATTCCAGGTCTGTGGGCTTGCAGGGAGGTGCCCCCTCCAGAGGTCAGGTGTGCAGGCCGGTGGGGGGCTGCGACATACTGGGCTGACCCGGACTCCCTCTGTCCCCTCTGCAGGCTGCTGCCCAGGAAGCCAGCACCCTCCTGACCTCAGGGCAGCCCAGGCAAGCGCTGGGCTACTGCTCGCTGGCCGTCCTGGCTGGTGGTGGCCGTGCCTGTCACCTGCGCCAGCGGGCCACCTGCCTGGCCGAGCTGCAGGAGTTTGGCCGGGCACTTGGAGACCTGGACCTTGTGCTCCGGGAGGGTGCAGGGGACAGGGACCTCCCGAGGCGAGTGGAGGATTTGTGCTCCAGGGGCTGCCTGCTCCTGAGCCTGGGGAACAAGGCTGGGGCTGCAGGGGCCTTCGCCCAGGCCCTCGCGCTGGCGCCCACTCCAGCCCAGACCAGCCTGTGGGAGCGGCCAGGCCGGGCTCCCGCTGCCCAGGTGTTTCTGTGCCATGGGCAGCGCTGCCTGGAGGAGCAGCATTATGCCGAGGCCTGGACAGCAGCCGAGAGCGGGCTCCTGGTGGACCCCGAGCACTGCGGCCTGAAGAAGCTGAAGGCGAGGATCCGGAGGGAGGCAGCCTTGGGCTGCCGGCTCCACTGACCCCGTGCTCTCCAGGCCACACTGTCATTTCCCCCCCAAACCAGGGGGGATGCTCACCCCGCCCTCCCAGCCCTGGGGTGGCTGGGTCAATGTTGAGCAGAGAGGAGGGAGACCTGCTGGCCTGGATGACCGTCCTGGGAGGCCCAGAGCCCTTTGCTGCAATGGCACCCTGATCCCCAAAGCTGGGCCCTGGAGGCCCTGGCGTGGGGCCAGCAGGTTGGACAGGATTAAAGCCAGTTCATGGTGACCCTAGGGAGATGGTGCAGCCCTTCCCTGGGCATGAAGCAGCCTTGACCCTGGCCTTGGCCTAAGCCTCAGATGGGGCCCCCCAAGAACAAGACGCCCAAGCTGGGGTCTGCCAGCTGAGACCCATGCTTTCCTGAAGTCATTTTCCTGGGGAGTCCAGTGCCCAAATCCACCGCCCCTGCCATGGTGAGGATCCTCACCACCACCACCATCAAGCAGAGAGAGCCCACCCACTAAATGAGCAGAGGCTGGGCCTCTGGCTGATCTGGCCAAGAGGTCGAATGTAAAAGGTGGATTAAATTTGCCTTCCTGTTTGCTTGGAAAACTCTCTCTCCTGGGGAAGCCAAGGAGCCCAGCCCTAGAGACCCTGTCATGCGGCCTCGTCCCTTTTGGAAAGCAGGAGCTGGAAAGGTCCAACAAGAAACACATGGTCACGGTCACGGTCACAGTCAAGTTAGTGGTGACTAGGAGCCACACCCCAGCCCAGCTCCAGGATCCCTTGCAGAGGGTCCCAGCCTCCCCAGCTCCCTGGGCAAAGTCTGTCCTGCCCCATGCCCCCCCGCCCCCCCCACCCAGCCTGCCTTGGAGAGGTTCCCACACCCACTGCAGGTAGATGTGAGGGTTGACCATCACCCCAACCTCACACCATACGCTCAAGGGGACAGAAACCAGCAGGCCCTGCGCGGGGTCCAGAGCAGAAAGCCAGGGTGGGTCTGGCTGGTGGAAGTTCTCCGAGCCGAGGAGCGGCGCACCTGGTGTTCACAAGGTGCCCACACCTTGGGTCCCTGAGAACATTTGTGAGGTGGTACACTTAGCATTTCCTGGCCTCAAGACAATGACGCTGCACGTTCGTCTTCTCATCCTCTGCGTGGGAAATAGCTTTTTGTTTCCAGAGGAAATCAAAGCTGGAATTGCAGAACTGGGGGGAAATAATAACAAGAATTCGGGGAAGTGTGACGCCTGGGACAGATACAGCCCAACAGGACCACGCAGAGGTCGCCCGAGAACAATATGCAGCAACACACAGAAGTGAATGAAGAACGTGCTCGGTTTGAGAAGTTAGAAAAAGGCCGTAAATGAAAGCAGGAGGCGGGAATCGAAAGGGTTAAAGCTGGCAGGTGTGAATTAGGAATAGAAAAGTGGAGGACTAATAAATAAACCCGAAATCGGACTGTTCAGAAGTACAATAAAACAGGTGAGCCAGTAGCCGACCGAGAAAGGTAAAGCGCAAAGACGCTGTCATCCCCACCTGTTGGTACTGATGCTCCCTGCTAGAGGGCCCCGGGCACTCCCCTGGCCCGTGCCACCTGTGGGGAGCACCGCAGGCATTTCCCCGTTTGGAGCCAGTGTTGGCACTGGGTCAGCCCCTGTGATGATTGTGATGTCAGGATGCAATTAGTCAAAAGCCATCAGGGAACTTTGAAGACCAAGAAGCATTACTCACAGGTCCTGGAGGGTGCACGGAACATCGGGGCCACACAGCGAGGTGGAGGGGGGGAAGAGAGAGAGAACTCCTGGGCCCAGGGCTCTGCCTTTATTGGAGTCAAGAGTGGGTGTCTGCGGTTTTCTGGGATCCCTCATTATTGCCTAATTTGGTGTATAGGAGAGGGAATTTGGTCTCAGGAGACTGGAGGCAGGGTCACCTATGTGGTCAGTAACCTGAGTCCCCATGGCAAGATGTTTCTTCGAGGTGGATGTCTTTTGAAATGGCCACCAGAATCTCAACTACAGACACGACATTTTACAAATGACAAGGACACAGTAACAGGACATCAGAAGAAGCATCAAGCCCTGGCTCGTTTTGCTCAGCGGTTAGAGCGTCAGCCTGTGGTCCAGAGAGACCCAGGTTCGGTTCCCACTAAGGGCACGTACCTCGGTTGCAGTTTGTCCCCGGCCCTAGTTGGGTCGTGCGGCTGGCAGCCACTCGATGTGTCCCTTTCATGTTTATGTTTCTCTCTCTCCCTCCCACTCTCTGAACAAAAAATGAAAAAATGTCCTCGGGTGAGGATAAAAAAAAAATTTTTTAAAGCATCAAGTTTTCTCAACTCTATGCAAATAAGTCCGAAGGCCTGTAGGGAAAGCATTTGTTCCTAGGAAAACGGTATTTACAGACCCCAGAACAGACAAACCTCACACAGGACAATCACCGCGGTGGGAAGGAGAAGGTGGTGGAGGAGCCCCACCCCCGCCCCAGCAAGCCGAGGTCCAGGTGGTGTCGGGCAATGGCCCAGCCTTTCAAGCACAGCCCATCCAGGTTACGGTCAACTCTAGAACCAAGAAGAAAGCAGAATCCCAACCGAACAGAAGTCTCCACCGATTGCATTCAATGAAACACCAGTTCCAAAATCCTCAGTGAAACCCTGGCAAACCCAAATCCAACTCCACAATGAAAGGATAATGCACCATAAGCAATGCATGTGGAATGCAAGGAAGGTTCAATTTCAAGTGTATTCCTACAGTTTATCATAGCCACGGAGGGGGGGAAAGTCCTGTGACCCCCATGGCGGTTGCCGTGGGGTGCACCAGCCACATGTGATAAATCCACTCCTCCATGCTGTCTCCCTGCACTTTGGGGGCCTTCCTCTACATGACACCGGGGAAGCCCTGGCATCTCCACTCCATTAACTGGACCACCGAGTCTAGAGTCATTCACTAAGTGACTCGTTAGTCACTTCCGGCTCGACATGAGCAAACACAGTAGGTTCAGCGTCTCTGGCAGGTGTACCCATGTTAGTAAAGCCAGCCCCATGTGGCACCCTCTCTGCCTTGGTCTCATACGCTGAGACTCCATTCCCACACTGTGTCCTTAGGTTTCTCAGTGTGACCTGGCAAACCCTGCAGGCACCGGGTGCCTGTGCCACTTTCTCCTGGGTCAGCCTTTGCATGGGAGCCCCCTCCCCCACACCTGAGATCCAGCCCTACTTGAGGATGGGGCAGAGGTTAAATAGAACCAGCATCCTCTCTCTAGGCCCTCACCCCTGCAAGGTTCTCACGGGGTCTGTGATGAGAAAAGGCAGGTCTCCCGGAGGCTGAAGGACCAGCAGCTTCCGCTGGAAAGAGAGGCTTGGCAGACGAGGGTTCAAGGTTCTCAGCTTCATCTGAGCTGGACCAGGTGTCCCCTCCCTAGTTTCCAGGTCCCATTGCTTTCCCATCAACGCCTGAGCTTTTCTTAAGAAACGGAGAGAAAGGCGTGAATGTAGCCAACGTGGCAGGCGCGCCCCCTGCAGGGTGGCGTGTGCAGCTGACGGCAAGGCCAGCCCAGTCCCTTTCAGGGCCGCCAGGGACCCCTCTGACTGCTGTGACTGGAGCTGAGCATTCCAGGACCCAAGTGGTACTTCTGCCCGTGTAAGTGCACCAGGAGACCCGCCGCACGGCTGTCCTGGGGCCAGCGCCGCCGGGCTGGTGACGTGCAGCAGTGCCTGGGTCCTCAACTCCAGCGGTGCCTCCGCCAATCGTGAAGCCACCACACGCCATGGACCCCCTGCCAAGGCCCTCAGCCCCACATCCTATCTTGAGGGTCTGGTGACAGGGACACTTCTAACACCAATGTATCATCAGTCAGGGTCCACACGGAGAATCAAGGAGCAAGAACTTCGTACAGGGAATTGCTAACAGCCCGGCTGAGTGGCTCAGTGGGTTAGAGTTGTCCAGATGCGCCAAGGTCACAGGTTCAACCCCTGGTCAGGGCACATACAAGAATCAACCAATGAATGCATAAATAAGCGGAACAACAAGTCGGTGTGTCTCTCTCTCTGATCAATAAATTTTTTTAAAAAATTGCTAATTAGTTATAAAAATGTTAATTATGGAACCAGGGTAAAAGTGTTAACTGTAGGGATCATGGAAACAGTGACCTCAGGGTTCAGAGAAGGTGACCCAGCCTCTCCCACCAGCTGTCCACCCTCACCTGTGCCCCTCCCCCCTCCCAGTATTTCCCCGACCACACCTCTGTGCACCTGCTCTCTCTGCCGACTCTGTGACAAACCCTACAGGGGAGGGGACTGTTTCAGCTGTTAGGCCTGAGTTGGTGGCTCGATGACAGAGACCTGGGCAGAGTCAGGCCACCCTGGCCCCTTTGCTCCTGTGCAGGAGACCCAGGCCCGACCTGAGGAGGCAGCAGGCGGGGAGGGTGTGCAGGGGCCCCCAGCAGCCGGTGGAACCCCTTTCCCAGCTTCTGGTGGCTGCCAGCCTGGCCCCTCCCCAGCCCCCCACCTGGACCAGGCCCCTTGCTCACCCCAAGTTTCTGCTTTTTACTAATGTGGCTGCAGACGGGGAGAACCAAGGACCGGGGCGGGGGGACAGATGTGAGCGCCGAGGCCCGCCAGCCTCTGCGTGCAGGCAGCCGAGGCTGGGGACGGGCCACTCGGGCTGGACCAAGTCGAGTGTGGGGACCTCAGGACCACAGTGCTCTGGGAAGGGCCCTCTGCCTGGCCTGGCTGGGCCTTGGCCCTGCCCCCGCGCTCCCAGGAAAGTCAGTCCCAGCTTCTCACTGCCCTGACCTTGACCTCAACCCCATCCAGGCCAGCTCCTGGGCCTTCAGACAGGGCTGCCAGGAAAGGGCCAGGGCACCGAGGAGACCTGGGCTGGGCTCCAGGGGTGGGGGCGGGGATCCGATCCCCCGCACTGCCCTCCCAGGGCTTGTTAACCTGAGAGGCCGCCTCAGGGTGGCCAGAGGCGTCCTGCAGGACCCAGGGCAGGCCTTCGGGTAAGGACCCTGGCTCTGTGACCAGCACCCCAGAGTCCGCGAGGCTCTGAAACAGGAACACGCGGGGACCAAGGCAGGCCCGGGGAAGGGAAGCCTGACTTCCGACTGGGCCTGCTCCGCTCAGAGCCGCTGGCCCATCAGCAGTGCCGGTGGCTGAGTCCCACTCCGATCACTGGGGTGCCCCTTCCCCACTCCCCCAGCCAGGGCCACGGGCTCCTGGAGATTGGGCTCTGAGCCTCAAGGCCGCAGGGGCAGAGGGAGGCAACTGAGCCCCATGCTGGCCAAATGTGGGTGTCTCTTGCGGGGGACCCTCCCTGGCAATTCTGCCCGCTCCCACCACGATCAGGAACCCCCCACCTCCCTTTCATTTGGCAAGGCCCCCAGAAGCCTCCCTGGAGACGGCAGAGAAAGGAGCCCCCGACGGGGCCTTCGCAGACCCCATGCCAACGTGGGTCCTAGTCCTGCCCTCTCAGGCCAGGTGGGCAGTGTGGGGTAGGGTCTGGCCTTTTCTCCCAGCAGCCCCTGCAGCCCCTCTGGACGGAGGGGTCAAGGAGCAAAGGACCAGAGGCCCCAGGAACTGCTCTGCTCCCCTCCCCCACACCAAGCCCCGCCGGAACCCCGGGACTGAGCAGGGGTCAGCGCATCACAAAGGGGCCTCGGAAGCCACAGGCCTCACGGAGCCTCTGAGTCACTGCCCTCCGGCCCCTGGGAGCCCCTCCACCTGGCCCTGTTCACTGAAACTCCAGGCCATCCCGAGCCAGCCTTCCAGACCTGCCCGCAGGCGACGGCCACTCCTGAGTGACCTGAGGTGAGCTGCTGGAGGCTGCCCGCTGGGCCGGCGCTCCCGGACGGACCTGAGAACACCTTCCAGCCCAGCCCATTTCCCGGGGCAGGCGGGGCGTTGTCCGTGCAGCTTCACCTGTCCCCGGGCCGGTAGCTCCTGGGCACGGTTCCCTTCCCGTGTCCTTGCGCCGCGACAGCCTGGGGGCCGCAGGTGCGACCCGGACCCCGACCCCGACCCCGACCCCGCAGCCTGGCCATGGCAGCCCCTTTCTGCCTATCTAGTGGAAGTGGGCTTTGCTGGCCCCGGTCTTGGAGGCCGTTCCTGAGCCCCTGAGTTCGAGGGACAGGTGAAGTACATTCACAGACCGAGTGAGCCGCCCAAGGCCCCGAGCTGTCCCACCCAACTGATTCACTCATTCATTCGCCTTTCACTCATTCAGTGAATGTTGATTGATGCCCGGGGTTGGGGAGCCCCAGTCTCGGTGCTGGGGACCCAGGGAACGGCCCCTACCCTGTGGTGCCGGTGTTTCCGATGGAGAGATGGAAGTGGAGATTGGGTTGTGTGTCTGGTGGTAAAACAGAGACAAGTCTGGGTGCAGGGGGTGCTGGGGCTGACTATGTTGATAAAGGACCCCAGGGAGGCCTCGCTGGGGATGACCTTGAGCTGGGACTCTGGAAAGGGGCAAAGGGCAGCAGGCAAGGTTCTGGGGCAGGAACGGTGGCAGGGGGTACGGGGAGAGGTGATAGGGACTCTGGGGGGTCCTGAGACCAGAGCAGTCCTGGCTTCTCCCCTCAAGTTGGGGCAGGTGGCAGGTGATGTCCAGAAAGTTAAGAGACCCACCTAAGACCCCTGAGTCGGTACAGAACTCAGGCAGAACCCCGGTGTTGGCGAGGAGGAAGATCTAACCCAGCCCCGGTGGCCTCAGCGGCAGGACGCTGACTGCCCAGGGCAGGACTGGGTCTGTGCTCCCCAGGCTTCTGCCAACTTCAGGCTCACCTCACGCAGGCCGGGCACCGGGCGCAGACATCAGAGGTGTGAGTTTGTCCTGAGTGAGGACAGCACCAGCTGCTCCCAGATTCCCAAGCAGCTTTTGGGGCAGAGCTCCAAGTACAGCAAAGGAGGTGCACACACACAAACAGGCACACGTGTGCATGTGCACACATGCTTTCACAGGTGCACACTCACACAGGTGCACACACACAGATGTACACATGCTCACACAGATGCACACTCACAGGTGCACACTCACACAGGTGCATGCTCACATGGGTGCTCACTCAGTTCCACACTCTCATAGGTGCACATTCACACAGGTGCACACATGCTCTCACAGGGGCACACTCACACAGGTGCACACACAGGTGCATGCTCACATGGGTGCTCACTCAGTTCCACACTCTCAGAGGTGCACACTCACACAGGTGCACACATGCTCTCACAGGTGCACACTCACACAGGTGCACGTTCTCAGGTTCATGTCTCACATGCAGATACGCACACACACATGGAGATGGAACACGTGTGCACACTCACAGGCATGAGCTTGGATGTGCATGTGGGTGTAAGCATGGGCATGAGTGGGCCCCAGGCAGGCTCCACTGCAGCAACCTGCCGACCCCCACAGGGAGCTGGGCCTACGGGACCTGGCAGGTGGACCCCAAGCTGTGAGCAGAGTGGTCCCCAGACCACCTCCAGCCAGACACTGGGCCTGGAGAGGTTGGCCTCCAGAAGAGACTGCCACGGGGCCAGCAGGCTGGGCCTCTCCCCACTCTGGGACCCCAGGCTCAGGGACTCCAGCCCGGGAAGGGTGTGGGAAGCCCTGAGGCACAGGTTCCAAGGGCCCAAGGGCCGGGGTGTGGGCTTGGCAATGGAGAGGGGCTGAGCACCCAAAGGGACCCGGCCCCTGCCCCCAGCCCGCAGTGGGCCCCTCCAGTCTCGGGCAGGGCCTCAAGCTCCGCACCACGTTTCCCCTGCCCTGGGTGGACGCGCCCCTGCCCTTGGCCTCGGGGCTGCTCAGCTGCGCACCATTCCCTCCAGAGACGTGGTGATGGGGAAGCTGGAAAGCCCAGCAGAGATGGTGGAGATCACCGGCCAGTCCAGGCAGAGGCGCCCCGGCTTCCTGGAGTGGGGGCTGCTTCTCCTGCTGCTCCTGGTGACGGGCGCCCTGGGGGCGCTGGGCCTCCTCTATGCCCACAGCAGAGGTGAGTGAGAGCCCTCCCGCAGGCCCCACCCCGCACCGCCACCGCTGCTCTTCCCCACCCCTCCGGAGGTCTGCACGCGCCCTCCCTGACCAGCGAAGAGGGGGTGGGTCTGCACGGGCTCCGGAGGCTGCGGACTCTGCAGGAGGGTCACTGACCTGCACGGGGCTGGGCCCCTTCCAGAAGGCTCTGCCCAGGCGCAGGCTGGAGCGCGGCTGGTTCCGCAGGCCACCGAGCCGCGGCAGACCAGGTCCCCGCCCCGCGTGCGCCCCCGGCCCTCCCGGCGCAGAACGCCTGCAGTTCCTGGCCGGCCCAGCAGAGGGAGCCCAAGCTCCAGAGCTGGGGACCCGCAGCGCGTCGGCGCCTCCAGGGCCACCCAGCAGCAGAACCTGCTGGGATGCTCCTCCCCTGGCCCCAGGAAGGCCCAGGTCACAGGTGCCTCGTGGCTTCCCAGACAGGCTGTCTTATTGCAGGATGGTGGGACGGTGCCGGGTTGGGGTCCCGGAGATGAGAGGTGCAGTCCCCACTTGGCAGTCCCCGCCCCTGGCCTCTCCCAGGTGACCTGGAGAAACGGGGCTGTCCCTCTCTCAGGTCAAGGAGCAAGGTGAGGGGCTCACGTACATGCACCTGGGCACCAGGCAGCCCTGGTCAGATCTCAGCCGCACCCTTGCGGGGGCCTGTACATCAGGTGTGCACCCGGGACGGGCGCCGTGGGCTCCTCCCGTGGGCTCCCGAGAATCTGTAGGAGAAGCACTCGCCTCAGTTCTCTCAACACTGGGGCACCACAGCCTCTGTACTAGAAGGTTCCCTCACCAGCCAGGGCCCTCGGCACAGTCTGCACCCGGTGGGACCATCCACCCATCCCTGGGCAAGGCCACTTCTGTGAACCAGACCGGGCTCAGCCTGTGGGTGTGGTGAGCACCGCCTCCCCCTCCCCAGGGCTGCTCCCGGCCTGACCAGGTGCCGGTGCCCTGCTCTCAGGCCCCTCCTGCTCCTGCCGGGGTGGATGCGCACTGCCAACTCCACGGCCACGGAACAGGGAAGGGGAAGGGTCACTTGCTGCTTGGAGAGCCCTGGGGAGCCCAAACCCCAGAGCACCTGTGTTCTGCAAACACCTGGCTTGAAGGCTTCCAGGGAACAAGGCTGAACCCACCCACCCCAGCGTGGGGCCCACAGGGGCCTGTCCTCTCCTGGGCAGTGAAGAGCTGCAAAGCCCACCCCAGCAAGAGGGACCCTCCCTGCCCAGCCTGCCTCCCCTCCTCAGCATCTCATAATACAAGCGGCTGTTTGTGGGGGCTCCACAGTCAGGACCCCTGTGCCCCCACCCCCAGCAGTGATCCGGTTGAGCTCATGGGAGGGTTTTATATGCAGGGTTATTTTTTATTTCTAAGTGTATTTTTCATTTCTGCTATGCTTTTTAAAAAATTGACTCGAGTTATTTAGAATTTTTAAAATTTTAATTTCCAGAGGCACAGGGCTATTTTTAGTTACCTTTTTTAAAAAATTGATTTTTAACTTAATTGCTTTGTTAGAATGGGATGTTGACTCTTTGATATTTGCTGAGGCTGGCTGCGGGGCTAACGCGTGGTCAGCTGGATCAGTAATCCGGGTGTGTGTATGGAATACAGCCGATCTCTGTTGAATGAAACTGGAAATATAGGTACAGATGCAGGTATAGTATAGATACAGATATACCCATCCGAGGCATCTTCTCTGTTTGCTTTTTTCACTTCCTTGATCTTCCAGTTACTGAAAGATGTGTGTTAAAATACTGCACTAGAGACCCATCCGTTTTCCTTGCAGTTAAGTCAGGTATCAATGTGCCTATTCTAAGGCTGCGTTACTGTGTGGATGCTAATTTAAAGTCCGTCTATCTTCCGATCCATGGGGTCCTGTACTTCCTTTCTCTCTCAACAATGCTGTCTGCCTTAAATTGTTTTAAATTCTCCTTTGTCTGATATGAACAGACTAGACAAATGCCTTTGCCGCCTCTGTTTTCTCCAATCTTTCTATTGAAACTTTGTGTCTTTGGCTTTAGATGTGTCTCGTGTACCAGCGTGTAGCTGGATTCGGTCTTCGTCTGTTACCTGGAAGATGTTGTCTATTGTGCACACCGAGGTCACTGAAATTACCTTTCCCTGTCGTGTCCCTTGAGGCTTCTTATGCCTCTTGTTTTTGTTTTTTTCTTTTCTTGCCTTCTTTTGTTTTTTGTTAATCTTCACCTGAGGATATTTTTCCATTGATTTTTTTTTTTTTTTTTAGATAGAGTGAAAGGGAGGGAGGGAGATGGGGAGAGAGAGAAACATCAATGTGAGAGAGACACATCAATTGGTTGCCTCCTGCACACCGGGGTTGGGGATCGAACCTGCAACCCAGGTATGTGCCCTTGACCGGGAATCGAACCTGTGACCCTTTGGTCCACAGGCTGATGTTCTAACCACTGAACCAAACTGGCCAGGCTTCTTGCCTTCTTTTGGATCGATCGATTATTTTTCACTTCATTTTCCCTCGACTAGCTTGGAAGTTTTCTATTTCTATCTTTTCATGGTCCTCTTGGATTCTTTGTTTTAATCTTTGTTGTTTTTAAAGTTATGGATAAACCCCTTCTCAGAAAAACAAGTGTTTTGATTGACGTTACAGTGGGCGGCGGTCCACGCCCGCACCTCTGCCCGCCCTGGAATCAGGCTCTTCAGAAGCAGCCGCGATTGGGCTCCTGTGCAAGGGCTAGCAAACTGTGGCCCACCGCCTGTGTTTGTAAATAAAGTTTTATTGGAACACAGCTGCGCCATTCATTTATGTTTCGTCTCTGGATGCTTTCCTGCTACCAGAGATAAAAGAATAGGTGAGACGGTCTCTATGTGGCCCACAAGCCTAAAATACTTACTCTCTGGCCCTTTACAGAGAAGTATTGCCAGCCCCCCTAAACTGAAACTCAGCCCCAGCTAGGCCCCAGGTGACATATCCACCTCGCCTGGGGTTCTGCTCTTTTAAGAAGAGGACACTTGGCTAAACCCCTGAGATCCTATTCATCTCCAAAACCCAAAGAATCTATAAGTGTGCAAAAGAGGCTAATGCTTGCTCTGTGTAACAACTATCAGGTTATGATCAGGTGTGATACTGTGGCTTGAGCCTATACAAATATAACATATGTAATTATCTTCCCAGAATCCTATATCTGGGTGAGCCTTACCAGGTTCACTCACCTTTTTTTTTAAAAAAAAAAAAAACTATTCTCAATCCACTGCATTCTTTATGGAGATCCCATTCCCACCTGGCACCATTTTTCTTCCTACTGAAATTCCTTTAGTACTTATAGTAGTCCAAGTGTGCCAGAAAGAAATTCTCTCAGCTTTTATTTGTCTGAAAAGGCCTCTATTTCAACTGTATTTTGAAAGTTATCTACTCTGGGTAGGTATAGAACTCTGAGTTGACCACCTGCCCCCTCAGTCACTCCATTGACTTCTGGCTCACATAGTTTCCGATGAGTAGTCTGCCAAATTTCCCCTCTTTACTCCTCTGTAATGTTTCTTCTTTTCTGACTGCCCTCAAGGTTTTCTCTGCTATCTTTGGTTACAGTTTAGCTGTGATGTGTCTAGGGGTGGGTGATGTCTGTGTGTAAGTATTTTGGTATTTATACTGTTTGTGGGTGTTTTTTATTTATTTATTTATTTTGGACTTTATTATCTTTCACTAATTTTGGAAATTTTTCAGCTGTTATCTTTTTCAATATTTCTTCTTCCCCTTTCTCAGTCTCTCTGTGATTCCACATATGTGTCTGTTGAATGGTTTGACATTATCCCATGTCAAACTGGACATCTGTTCAGTTTTTGTTCACTCCTTTATTCCTTGTGATACAGTTTGAAGAGTTTGACCCTGATTAGTATTCAAGTTCCTAGCTTTCCCTCAGCTGTATCCAGGACACTAGCCAGCCAGTCAAAGAAATTCTTCTCCTCTAATAATGTGCTTTTTATTTCTGATATTTCTGTGTGACTCCTTTCATAGCTTCCATCTCTTTGTTGAACTTTCTTATCTGTTCATGCATGTTATCCACCTTTTCCATTACATCCTTTAACATATAAATCACAGTTATTTTAAAGTCCTTCTCTAATGGCGCCAATATCTGGACTGTCTGTGAATCTAGTGCTACTGATCACTTTAGCTTGTGGAAATGGGTTGCTTTTACTTGCTTTTGCGTTTGTGTGTCACATGCATTTTTACTGGACATTATGAGAGGAAGAGTAGAGACTGAGGTCAGTAATATTTGCACCCATACATAGGCACACCTGCTCCTCTGTCAGCCTGTCAGTGTGAGAGGTTAGATCAATCTAGTCAGGAGTTAACTGACTTAGGGTTTTGTTCTTACTATTATTACCCTCAGTGCACTGCAGACTTCAATTTCCTCCAGCAATGGGCTAATATTACCTTGTGCCTAGAGAAGTGGCCCTGGCTGTTTTGGCTCAGTGGTTAGAGTGTCGGCCCACAGACTAAAGGGTCTCAGGTTTGATTCCAGTCAAGGGCACATACCTGGGTTGCAGGTTGATCCCTGCCCTGGTTGGGGCCATGCAGGAGGCAACCAATCGGTGTGTTTTTCTCACATCGATGTTTCTCTCTCTTTCTCTCACTCTCTTTTTCCCTCCCTCCCACTCTATCTGAAAATCAATGCAAAAGTGTCCTCAGTGGAAGATTTTTTTAAAAGCCCGCCATTGTGGCTCAGTGGTTGAGTATCGACCCATGCACCAAGAAGTCACCGGCTCAATTCCTGGTCAGGGCACATGCCGACTTTTTGGACCAAATCTCCAGTGGGGGCTATGCAGGAGGAAGCCACTCAATGTTCTCTCTCATAAATGTTTCTGTCTCTCTCTCCCTCTCCTTTCCTCTCTAAAAATCAATTTTTAAAAAACTTCTTTAAAGAGAAGTGGGCCTGGAGTGCCCAGAGTTTTTACCCTGCTCTTGCTGTAGCCTCTGCTCTCAGCACGCCTTGGGTGCGCCTTGGGTGACTGTGA